CGGCGTCCTCGGCCCCTAACGCAATCCTCCCGTCTCAGTCTGTGAACTCAGCTGGTCTCGTCTCCTCTTCCTATTTAACCGTCTCATTACTCACGTACAGACACAGGCACAACAACGGCTTCAGCACAAACATCTATGGTGCTCTGCACAGCACTTTTAAGTGGAAACGAAAACTTCATGTCCCTAGCAAAACTACATAGGCAAATGAAAATAAGCAATTTTAGAAGTACTTCTATAAATTATTGTACATAGTGTGAAGATAAAGAATATCAATGAGAACTCCTTGGCGAATTAAAGTGAACTACTTTTTCCTTTTGTCGATGTCTTGCGTTATTGTCTCTCTCTTTTCCCAGCCGTAAACCTTGCGATTGACTGTTCGTTTTCAGACGACACTCCAAAGCAAAACGGGCCCTAACGTTGCCGCTCCGTATCGCAAGTAGCCAGCTTCCAGACTGACACTCTCTGACGCGTTTGCGTAGCCGTTCGCGATTCACAACCAGCCAAGAGCTACGCTTCATCCCCAGGAGATTTTGCGCAAACTTTCGGCGGGGTGGCGCGAGTATCCAGATGCTTCTATTGCGATATTTGTTTGTATATTACAAATGACTTTACTTGAGCCACAAGCGTACGAAATGTAGCTTTCCCGACTGTTTGATTGGAATCGCCACCATGTGAAAACAAATAGCATCGAGTTCTGCTTGAGGTTTGGGAAAGTTTGTGTATGTTTGTTAACGTGATGGTCAAAGACGTTTATTCAATCATGTTTAGAATTAATTTTATGCTTAAATGAATCGATTGGTTGGGGCGTGTTGTTTACTTTGAAAAATTGTGATTGCACTGATGATGATGAGGTTTTATAATCGTTGCATACCAAAAATGTCTAAATTAGCCTTCCGTTAAAGGGATAGTTCACCCCAAAATGAAAAATCTGTCATTTACTCGCTCGTGCCGTTCCAAACCCATAAGAAATGCGCTCATCTTCAGAACACAAATAATGATATTAATCGATTCTGAGATATTTCTGTCCCTTCGTTGAAAGTATTTTCACCCAAAACACAAACGCTTTAAAACATTCGTTAAAAAGATTTTTTAAAAATTAATGTGAATCAAGCGGTTTAATTCAAGTCTTCTGAATAGACCGGATCGTTTTATATGATGAACAGATTTAATTTATGCTTTTATTCACATACAAACATTGAAGGTGAACATAAACAGAAGCTCAACCGTACTTGCTTGACGCGCGAGAACGAATCTCATTGGTAAACATTGTTTGGCAATGAATGTTTTTGTGAATAAAAGCCTAAAATAAATCCTTTAACCTTCAGAAGACTTGGAATGAACTCACTCGACTCGTATGGATTTATTTTTACGAACGTTTTGAAGTGTCTTGAGTTTTTGGTGAACAGGCTTTCAATGAAGGGACAGTAAGATCTCAGATTTGATTAAAAATATCAAAATTTGTGTTCCAAAGATTTTGGGTAAATTGAGCGAATTTTCATTTTGGGGTCAAATAACTTCAATGTCGCAGTAGAGTTGAAGATAGGGTTTTATACGACTGATTTGTTGATGTCTACCGGGAAGTGCAACTTGTTTACAATGTTTCCGAGCACCATTATGAATCATGTTTCTAGCGTGTATTATACGGTGTGCTGCAATCTACAAGCTTTCATTGCTTTAGACCTGCTTGGGGAGGGTGGAAAGACGCTTTTCTCTTCTTTATTGTTATTTTGATCCAACACGACGGGATACGGCTCTACTTGCGTGGCTCGGGGACTGAAGGGCTCATTGCGCGCGTCTTCACCGTCACAAAGCACGAGGACGACGGGCGCGTCTGGACTGAGGAGGTCGTTTGGAGATGGTCAAGACGTGTTGGGAGGCTGTCGGCGGATTAATTCTTTTATTAGGGAAATTGAGAAAATACAAACAAAAACACTGGAATGTGAAAAGGAGTTTTTTTAAATAAAAAGTAAATGTTCCACATACCGTGTCTGCTTTTTTTTGCACCCTTTCATGCAATATGAAATGTGTAAGCAAGGTTTGCATTCTCACAACTTGCTTTATCTTTAAAGTCAGCATGAAATCAAGAGATTTACTTTATATATGTTCCTGGTCTTACTGTGAGTGATTTAACATTGCATGATTTCATGTTGACTTTAAAATGATTTGATCTTGAAAAATTGGTTTGCTTTTGTATTTTGTTTGCTTGCAGGATTTTGACCCTTCCAGACAAATATTAATTTCTTAAATAATTATTCCAATCATATATACAATTATGTAATTAAAAATTGTATATATATAAAAAATAAATTAAAACTAAATTTAAAAGTATATTTTAGAACTCATAATTACATAATTGAATCGCTTTTAGAATTTTACAATTCAGTATAAGCAGATTTCCTCCATCTGTTTACAATTTTTTCTCCTGTAAATGTCCTGTTTCACAGAAATAATCAAGTTATGGGGGAAAATTAGTTGCCGTTTCATGTTGACTCCAAAAAATATTTGATCTTAAAATATTGGCTTGCTTTTGTATTTTGTTTAATAGGCTACAGGATTATGACCCTTCCAGACAAATATTTAATAATTAAAATGTCATATTTTATAACATAAACAACATAATTTAAATATTATATATAAAAAATGTATACTCAATTTAAATGTATATATTAGTTATAATCACGTAATTGAATTGCTTTGATTTGATTTCTTCAACTTTTCATTTTTTTATTTTATATCTTAGAAAATACATTTAAAAGTGCATAATTATATTAATACATAATTTATACTTGCGTGAATCAATCGCTTTCTGAGCTTTATTACAGTCGATCACTTACAGATGAGTATAAATGAGTAGTGCCGTAAACCGAATACTACCTGTTGCAAAGTTGTCAGTGAATTCTGTTTTTCCATTGTAAACTCCAAATATGGCTCACTCCGAAATCAAATTTAATGTCAAGCACGTTAAAGGTTAGCAGACATGTCAGTTTATCAAGTAACTGTTGCATGCAAATGTTGCATGCATTTGCCTGTCAAAAAGTTATTAATAGCTTCCAGCAATCCCACTCATCTGTAACCGACGAGAAGGGTGTGGAAACCAAAAAGATGACACGATACAAAGAGTGACTGTGTATAACTTTCTAAAAATAAGTGGGTGGATGTGTTAGACAGTAAAACAAGACAAAAGCCACATGGTTTTGTGCAGTGTGCGTCTATTAACCAAATGACATCATGAAGCGGACGAGCCCTTTCACTACAAAAGCGCCTTTCTGTGCATCAAGTCTTTGTGATTATGAGTTACAGTAGCACACCTGTGACCTGCGATTATAATACTGCTCACAATGAGGAGAATCTCACCAAAAATGTCAGATTTCAGCCTGAATCCAAAGAAAAAATAGTTTTGCATAAAATAAATGCAGCCTACATATATATATATATATATATATATATTTATGAGTTACACCATCACCCAATTCCCATTGTAAAATATTTTTTAATAACTAAAATGCAAAAAATATGGTGTTGTTTAAATTGTAGTTTAAATTTAAGTATTTAGTAGTATTCATTGTACAGCTAAATATTACTATAGAAGTTTCAGACATTTATTTACAAAAAAAAAAAACAATTGCAAGATGTTAACCCTGAATTCAGAGAAAAAAGTCAGAATAGGGATTTGAGTGTATATCTCGCAATTCTGACAATTTTTTTCCCCCAGTCACAATTACTTTTTTGTTTTATTCCATGATAGGGGGAAAAAACTGAAATGTGAGATAAACTCAGAATTCTGAGAAAGAAAATAAGAATTATGAGACGTCAACTCAGAATTGAGAGAAAAAGAACAATCTTGCAATTTTGACTTTTTTTCCTCAGAATCTCGCAATTGCAGCTGCGCCTGGAGCTGCGTCTGATTGGCTCGCAGGCATCGGTTCATCTCCTGCTCCTCCCGCAGCTCTTGACTGAGCTTCACCACTTTGTTGTTCAGCTGTGAACATCTGCAGAAAACAGCGCAAAAATGTCAAAAGACTGTGTAAACAGTGTATTACTGTTAAAAACGGCCTTTAAATATTGACATCTTAAACAATATTTACTACTAATAAATACACTACAATAACTATAGCCACTACATTCAAGAAATAAAAAAAACATAAAAGTTTAAAATAAAAATAAAAAAAATCACAGAAAAATTCTGAAATCTTCCACTGAAGGAAATCTCAGATTAATTTATATTTAATTAATATTTTTTTATTTGTATTGATTTATATTTATTAATAATATTACTATTATTATAGTACAAAGGCTCATAGTCACAATTCTTACAAACTATTTGAAATATAAAATGTTTGAAAAATCTAATTTAAAAATAAAACATTCAAATATGAAACAACATTCAATGCATTTAACCTGCATATTTGTTGAGTGAAATAATAACGGGTGAACTTGATTTTATCCAGTTGTGAAAACAAAAATGAACTTTTGAATTTAAAAATTAAAATTTAAATTCCAAATGGCTCTGGCTAGTCTGATTGGACCAGGTTTATAATAGTTAATTGAAACTAAAATTAAAACTAAAACCATAAAAACCATTTTCATTTTTATATGAAATAAAATAAATAATAACGGAAATAACTTATTTTATTTCAGTTAGTTGCCAAAGTATCATTTCTCATTTTATTTGAGCTTAACTTGAGGTACTAAAATAACTAAAACCTAAAACTGAACTGAAAATTAAGAATTATATAGACATATTTAAAAAATAAAACTAATAAAAAATGTAAAAATACAACAAAATTACTATAACTTTAAAATTTGAATGAAAACAGAAAATATTAATAAAATAATTCAAAAACATTTCATAAAAACAATGTAAAACATGATAATAATCCATAATCTGACATATCTTAGGGCAAATTTAAATTTTATCCAGTATGATTTGATATTATTCAATATTAATCACCAGAAAAGTTCATTTCAGTGAAAATACAGAACTATTATTTTCAAGCATGCGACTGCACATCAACAGAATTCCACTAGCATCTTTGCTCTGACATCACACACCTCCAGCATAGTCCCAGACCCTATGATTGGTCAGCTGCATGGCGTAAGTGTGCTGCGTTTCCTCAAAGTGCTTGTAGGCATGACGACTAACGTAGCGTCCGCAGCCGATATGACCGCAGATAAGACAGATCCACAGATTCTATGAGACATTAACAAATATGGCTTAAATATAATATAATGAAACGTCCATCTATGTGAGTGAGACCAGCAACGAACAATTATTTAATCAATTAATCTGTCGATTAAATACTCGATTAATCAGTTTTGTTTTCAGTATTTCAGTTTTTTTTTAAAGGTCCATACAGTATCTGAAAAATGTATCTATGTAGGATATATGCTATACATTATATGATAAAAAAAACAAAGACTATTTCTATGGAAGACGAGAGCATCAAAACGGAAGTTAGAATCTATCATGGAGGCGCTCATCGGTTACTCAGGAAAAAGGTGGATAGTAATCATATTACATTTATATCCAATTAAAACAGTCCCTTTATATTTACTGCTCTGATAAAATTACCACCATTTGTGTTACATGCAGCATTTTAAACCTACATTTAACAAAATGTATAATTAACAGCATGAGTATCGTACGAGCACTTAATGTAAAATATTCCCATGTTTAGGATAACTTGAGTCAGGTGCCTTTCCCGCAGCAGATCGCTGTGTATTTCAAATGTCTTTTGTCCAAAGAAATGTGTTATTCATTACTGTAACGATGTTGTCTGTGTGCGATTAATCGATACTCAGCTTCTTTTCTGTTGATTTGATCGATTAGTTGTTGCAGCCCTAAGTGAGATCTGAAAGATTTGTTACCTCTTGCACTCCACACTCAAAACACTTGTTCTCCTCCACGGGTTCAGGAGTCTGACAGTATCTGCACACAGGACACCTGCAGAAGAAGTGCACACTTTTAGTGTTCTTAAAAGGGATAGTTCACCCAAAAATTCAAATTTGCTGAAAATGTACTCATCCCCAGGCCATCCAAGATTAGGATGAGTTTGTTTCTTCATCAAATTTGGAGAAATGTAGCATTACATCACTTGCTCACCAAATGGATCCTCTGCAGTGAATGGGTGCCGTCAGAATTTTGGCCAAAGCAACGGTTTGAAGTAAAAAATGTTTTAATGATGGATTTGTTTCTTACAAACACGCAGCTTTTCACTTCTCAAGACGTTAACTGATGGACTGAAGTGGTGTGGATTATTGTGATGTTTTTATCAGCTGTTTGGACTCTCATTCTGACGGCACCCATTCACTGCAGAGCATCCATTGGTGAGCAAGTGATGCTACATTTCTCCAAATCTGATTACGATACAAACTCATCTACATCTTGGATGAACTGAGAGTGAGTGAATGTTCAGCAAATGGATGAACTATTCCTTTAAAGACAATGTGATGTCAAAAAGACCATTTACTTTCTTCATTAATGTCCCTTCTTCAGTCTAAATCTAATATTTATGTGTCACAGTTTGAGTTAGTAGTCTGTTCATGTCAATAACTCATAAGAATGAGCGTTAGTAATAGTGATGCATGCTTTAGCAAACTCCACTGATAATATCATTACCTACTTTTCATGCCCAATCAAATCCTGATGAATAAAATAAAGTTATGTAATTCATGTGTGTAAACACTTAAACCTGAAACCATCTCAGCAGCAGCGCTTTGAACTCCCATTGTGTGCATGAAACATGACACTGTGACGTTCATCTCACAGGTCAGAGGTCAACTATGACAATTACACAAAAACACAACAGCGAGAATAGAGAACGGCCCAGCAAACTTTTATGACATGTCAATGAAGAATCAGGATGAAAAGGTTAAAAGTGACGCACGTAAATAACAGATGAGAGCAAAAGATGAGCATAAACAGTGTCATGCACTGATGCCTCATGGGAGAAGAATGTGACGTGAGGGTGTGGGTGAAATTTTCCAAGCGTGAACAAAATGAACTAAAAAAATATTAACTATATATATGTGACCCTGGAGCACAAAACCAGTCTTATATATTTGTAGCAATAGCCAAAAATACATTGTATGGGTCAAAATTATAGATTTTTCTTTTATGCCAAAAATCATTAGGATATTAAGTAAAGATCATGTTCCATGAAGATATTTTGTAAGTTTCCTACCGTAAATATATCAAAACTTAATTTTTGATTAGTAATATGCATTGCTAAGAAATTCATTTGGACAACTTTAAAGGCGATTTTCTCAATATTTAGATTTTATTGCAAATTTTTTTACAAACCATACATCAATGGAAAGCTTATTTATTCAGCTTTCAGATGATGTATAAATCTGAAAGCTGAATAAATAAGCTTTCCATTGATGTATGGTTTGT